ATATTGAATCTGCTATGGATTTGGAGGCTGAAGCCTCTCCTTCATAATCTAAAATTTGATGTATACGATTTTTTTTCTATTTTATTGAACATAAATAAAGTATATAATTTAATAATGTGTTTAATGATGATGTAATAATAACTTCATTTCAGTATATTACATTTCTATATCAACTTGTACTTCGTGATATTGCTCAACAAATGACATCAACAATTTAATATAAATTAAGTTTATGCATTGTCTTAGTCAAATTGTTAGATAAATGATCATATAAATAAACTTTGTTGAACAAAAGAAATAAGATATTGTATTTTGGAATATATTGAGATAACGGCAGGACTCGCGGTCCTAATAATCGAATAGAAGTTGACACAGAAAACAAAAATAGAATAAAAACTTTTCATTTAAAATTTCATTTTTGAAAATTTATCAACAGGATTACATTGGTAGGGAGTTATTCTTAATCTGCAAAAATAAACATGAAAAATGTAGAATATTTTTTTTACATTTTTAAAGCTCAAATTTCATTTTCTCGCAAATGGAGCATTTTATAAGGAACAATAAGCATTAAAATGTGTTTTACATTTTTTATTTATTTTCGCAGATAGAATGATCTCTTGTTCATTATTTATTTCTAATCAGTCCAGAATTATTCTGTTTGTATTGCAAATTCAAGCATACATATAAAATCTTCAAACCTCGAAAACAGAGCTTTAAATGAAAAAATTTTATTCTTTCTTTCCGATTTAATTTTTCTCGAAGAATTATTCTGTGTTCTTAATTCTACAAATATATATGAAAAAATAATAACGTGTTTATATATATTCTAAAATATATTTTATATGTATATTTTTTCGACAAATAATAAATATAATGTACAAATATCGCATCCTTACGAAGAAAGTAACACGGTTGTCGAATTATTATTATTATAAAAAATGTCACAGAGATGGTATTTGATCAATTATGAAAATTTTAATCATCGATGTCCAATAATAACAAAATAATATCTAATTCTATTCAAAACCAATTTTTCGCTTCTCCTAAAAAATATATTTTTCCGACTTGTGCAGTTTCTTGACAAAAGTGCGACATGTTCACTGAAAAAACATTGGAAAAGAAATAGAATAAAATGCTATATAATATAATAGAATAAAGTAATGTATAATTATTGTATACTACATAATTATGTAAGATGCAACGCAATAGCTATAATATGTTAATGAATACAAATGAATAATGAATACAATGAATGTTTTGCTTGCTTTTATTATAAAACTAATAATGAATTCGTTTTAAACTAATACGTAACAAAGTATTTGATTACGTACATCGCGATTTGTGATTAAAAATCTAAGTTAATAATGGACTTACTGTTAATGATAAGGCACATTGTACTTTTTATAATTTTATAATTCTATAATTTTTAACAAATCGAAAGAGGAAGTAATTGTGATTCATCTTGTGATCTCTATACATATGTACGTACATATGTATTTGTCTTTAGTAGGAAAGGTTCAGCATTTAACTCTTCCGTTATGGTCCTACGGTGTTATATTAACCGTTACATTAAAATTCCAAAGTTGTATTTTACCATATGATTACAGGACATTGATTCCAAGAGAAATTCTTCGAATCGACAATAACTTCTAGAGCCTAAACGAAAAAATTGATCTTTCTAACTGTAAAAAAAAACCAAAATTCAATCAACAAACTTCCCATAATGTCTCGCATTATCGAATTGCTGGAAGATAAATATGAATAAAAAGAGAATTTTATTCAAAACATAACTATGATAAAGACAATGGTGTGTTTTGTATATATTAATCTTTTTAATGCCGACGAAAAAAATAATACCAAGCAAAAAAAAGCTTGCCAAAGTCAACTTGTTGTTTGATAAGAATCGAAAAAGTAACGATAATACAGATGTAATTAAAAATTACAAAATTGGAAAAGGAACATATTAAAAAATAAAAAGTATCAGTATTTATAAATAGATAAATAATATCTAATTGTTGAATGTACAGCATTTAATAAATGAAGACGTCATTTTTATGTACATACGCTATATCATTCTCCACTATTTTTAGCAAGTTTAGCCAATAATAATACATATATAAAAGATTTAAAATTAATATACACGCAAAAAGAACATAGTATAATGAATTTAAAAAAAACACATATAAATTATAGTACTTTATACGCTATACACATTATAGTACTTTTGACACACGATTTAAAACTAATATTTTTTTAATTGTATCGTTGTATAAAATATGTTACATATTGGCGGACGAAAAGAAGCAAGCAATAAATAAAAAGAAATTTATAATATTATGGTATTGGTGTCATATTTATATATGTATATAAAAATTACTAACTTTTATGCTAGACATTTGTTCTTGTTAAATATGATTCCATTCTATAAAGCTATGAATTATCTCGTGCTATTTGTCTTTTAAACTTTCTTCTATCCATCACGCATATTCTTTGTTGAGATTATTAGTTACGACCAGATTAAGAACCACTGGACTGAAACATATTCTGGAGAAAATTAATTGCGTGACTTCGAGACGAGGACGCGTTATACGCTGACCACGCCGTTTGAGATAATAGATGGATACTGTTGGTGTAGATAATAAATGGATAGATGCAGTCACAGCTGTCACCGATAATGGACTGTATTAATAAAATGTTAAGCAAGTGTCACTGACTATTCTGATTATGACGCATAATCCAATTTATCAAATAAATCAGTAATGTTCTGGAAACAATGGACACCTGTAACTTCAAAAAATTTTCTTGATTGAATACAGAATATTTACCAAACGATATAGTTCTGACGTTCGAAGACCAATATAAAATTTGGTGGTCAAATTAAGTTCGAAAGAGATTCAGAGTGATTTACATAAGAAATAAATGTGTAAACATGAAAAATAAATTAACATATATTTATAATCAAACGATACTTGATATTATATCTTTGAATAAGTAATAGTACTGAATTTTTTCCATCTATAAATCATGATGATACAAACTCAACGCTATAGTCTTCTAGATCCATCTAATCCAATATACAATAATATAAATTTTTATTATAAAAATATATTTTTAAATATATTATATTTAATCAAATTGCCTTCTGTTATTGCTTAATAAAAAATTTATACACTATACTTAACAAAAAATCTAATAATATCGAATTTAGATTTAGAATTTGATTTTCTAATATATAACCATACTTTTCAAGTTTATGAAATGATCATAAATGGAATAAAATCATCGACATTTACTTTGAAATTTAAATACTATATGAAATTTAAATACTATAAGAGTTACATTAGTTAACAGGATTAATTAAATCCTTTTCTGGTTTTTAATAGGAACAACTATTGTTTTTTTTCATTTAGCAGAGAATATATTATAAATATGTTACACAAATGCAATTGAAGAAAGAAAAGAATATTTAATAGAAAGAATATTTTGCTTCTAACAAAAGATGACCAACCTGGAAATTTAGAAAATTATAAAATTTTAGGAATGAATAAGGCAATGTTTTTTTCTATGGAAATTTGTTATGGAAAGGGATAAAATTATTTTTCGATTTTATATTGTAACTTGCGAACTATAAGAAATATAAGAGGAAAAAGTATTGAGACAAAAGTTAGTGTTTTAATTAAGACTATCATATGATACAAGATTTATCAATTGTTTATATAACTGAACAAAATTATAAAATATTAATAATGTTTTGTGAAATTCATTATTTCATAAATCTTTTATCAGCAGTTTAAAACATTGCACAGAATAGCATAATATTTTTTTCTATATACAAACTTTGTTGTATTTATGTAATTGTTGCTGTACTGCTTCAACAATCGAGAAATTTATAGATTATATTCCCATTATGTCATACGTATATATTGATATATATGAATGGTATATAACATTAAAATTATAATATTTTCTAATCTAATCAATTTCAATCGAAAGGTCAATACTTTTTTATAGACTATAGAGAAGATACATCGAATGAATATGAAGATACATCATGTGTAAAATGATTTATAGCTCTTTTAATAAAATAGAAATAATTTTAAAATCTTCGAAAATCTTTCCATTTCTAAAATAAATGCATGCGTCATACATTATTAAAAACTATTTAATTTTTCCTAAAAGATCTGTTTTTATTTTCTATTATTTGAAAGTTATAACTTAATTTAATTATTATACGTTATATACATTGTATGTCACGTACAAAATTTTGTATATTAAATTGCTGCACATAAAATGTGCATTTCACGATCGTATAAAATTATTTAGAATTTAGTGGCTAAAAAATCTATTAAAGTTTAAAGCCAACCAAACATAACATAATTAGTATTTTATCGATTATATCAATATTATATCAAAATGATTCATGGATCAATATTGAATTCGAATTCTTTAGAAAATTTCAAACGTTTTACGCTTTAACGCAATAAAAGTTAAATACTGCATACATTAATATTGAATTCCAAAAATTATTATAAGAAAAAGAAACTTGTCATTGATGTAAAGAAGTTTTCGATGGAGAAACATCTATTGATTAAAAATTTTAATTGTAATTTTGTTTTACAATGATCAAATAAATAAATATAATATAATATAATAAATCATAATTAAATATAACTATATATAATTAATTATAATTAAATATAATTAAATATAATAAATCATAATTCAATTAATAATATTTTCAAAGAAGATATAAACTGATTGAAAACTAGAAATTTTATAAAGAATCGATTATTTCATTTGCAATGACATAATATATATAACATCAAAATTTGAGCACAACTTGTGAAAATCCATATAGAAATAAACGTATTAAATCTAGCAAAAGTCTGTCTATATACGAAATTTTGTAATTAGAGAAAACTATATATTAACTAAAAATATGTTCTAATTATTATTCTTCTGAGTTATTTTTAAATAATTTCATGTTTTATTTGTTATAGATCAATGTGGGAAATGTCGAGCCAGTACCAAAAGATTAAACTTGAACAAATATTGCAAAAGAGATTATGGTAAGTACTCAATGAGAATAAGCTATATATTTACGTATGTATATTTACGCAGTAAAAACAATTCCAAGAACTCTTGAAATTCTTTTGAAAGTAAAAAAACGATATTATTCCTTTGTCATTTTACTTGCTCATGAAAAAAGGAACAATTTTTTAAATTTAACTTTAAACCAACAGCCTTTGCTACATATCAAAATCATTGTAATTTACACGACAATTAAAGACGATAATCAAAATAAATAGATAAAGAATATTATTTTTGTCTAAACAGAAATCTATATTAATTTCAGTAAACATATCTTAAGCAATTGTAAAAAAAGAAAATCTGAAATCGTGCTGACGGATTTGATTATTAAACTATTAAATGTCTGATAAAGGAATTAATGATTAATGGTCTTTGATTTTTTTCGTAATTAAACTATATATGTAAGTATTTATACGACTTTACATAAAAATTAAAAAATTATAAATTTAAACTTCCAAGAGTATAATAATTCATTAGTTCATTGTGCTTTTCACGATATCAGCAAACGTTTCTTTACACTCATTTAATTATTATATGCTATACTAAGTGGAACATTTTATGTTTATATAAATGATAATGGTAACCAAATGCTCCTTATAAACACTCGTCTATTTCTGTTTAAAATTTTTAATCTTTTTTTTGTTTGTTATAAATCGTTAAAATTAATATTTGCAGATATATATTTAAAATATATAAATAATGCACATATATATTTAAAATATATAATATAAAATGTATAAAGTACATAACAATATATTATAAATTAAAATTATTGGTAAAATAAAGATGTATATAAAAATAAAATCTTATCAAAATATAGACAAATTTTTATATTACTTTTATATTTTTATACATTTGATATATGATCTCATTTCTTCTCAATTTAGTATATGTAAATACATATTAGAAAACTTAATAATTTAATCTTGCAAGTGAAATTAACAGAAGTTACTGTTATTGTAACTTCACGACTTATTTGTTGTGCAAGCAGTGCAGTGACAATGTTACTTCATTTCTGATAAAAAATAAAACACACAACAAATAATATTACTGTGTATATCGTAGCATAATTTTATTTATTGCATCATAAACGACACTGATTTATCTGTGTATGTAAATGAAGTAATCACAAATGGAACAAATTCGTTTAATTCTTTATGCATCGTGTTAACGCATAAGTTAAAAACTATCATCTCGTTTTGAACTTTAATATGTCCCTAAACAATTGAACAGTATACAATAGAGAACATAACCGAAATAATAACGGTGAAAAATTGTTGATAATTTAAACTGTTACAACATTATAAAAGAAAATCATACAATCCATTTGATCTTATTTTAAAGCATAGAACTATTTTGATAATTCTAAGTCTACTCGATTTTTTTCAAAGATGATTTTATATCATGTAATGAATGAGAAAGTGAGCATCTTTTTCCAAAAATTGTAAAAATTTAAATATCTTTAAAAACATTGAAAAATTTCTTTGGTCTAGATTAACCATCATTTGAAGTCTCCTTTTTACAACAAATACTCGAAACTTGCTGTACAATCTTTTCAGCATTTTGTTAAACTTGAAATATTACAATTAAACGACAAAAATTTAAGAAATCTTGACATTTCGTCATTTAATCCTAACGTTCAAAGTTCAATAAAATGGTGAAAAAAATCATACAACAACAGCTTTTAAGAAATCATTGTAAAAGAGAGATTTCAATTTTTAAGATCATGGTGAATCTAATTATTTAGAAAAAAATTTTTTATTATTTTCGGAGATGTTTGAATTTTTACAGTTTTCGAGAAAAAAAAAGCTGTTGTACGATATATGAAAAATAAACTCAAGACTGTAAAAGTTGTTGTATATACTTTTGTTTTTACGAAGTTACAACAGTTTAAATTATCGCCAGTTTTTCGTCATTGGTTCAGTTATGATTTTATGTAATATCAGTAAAAAGTAAAATTAATATTATGTCTAATGAAAAGAAAGAAAAAATTAAGAAATACTTCGTTTTTTTCTTTTAGCTATTTTGGGCAGAATAACAGACAGACACAAAAAGAATGATGGTTCTCCAGCTGGAACAAGCGTGTCCGGTTCAGTTTGGATACGTTTCACCTTAAACGTTGACTTCATTTATAAAAAATCTCCGAACTCGAGGATTCGTCGTGGTGATGTGTTTCTTTACGTACACTCAGCCGACTTAGCTTGCAGATGCCCGAAAATCAAACCAAACAGGTAAGTTATTTAAGTTACATGAAGCTTGCAACGATTGATTGCAATATACATTTGATATACATTTGACACGAGAATCAATTTTCATTAACGATGGACAAAATGGGGATTGATTCTTCGATCCCTTCAATCATTAAATATCATATCGTTATACTTTTATTCATAAAAAATCAAACAAAAATTTACCGGATATGAATGAATCGCATCAAAAATTAAAAGAGAGAGATATTGATTGCTATTTATGAAAAGTATAATCCCGCAAAATCTCAGACATTTTTTTTTATCATATATATATATATTTTTGCATTTAAACTTTATTGCATAATAATATTAATTATAATGGTCTTCTAAGTTTTATTGTTTATTCTTTTGTAAATTAGTAATATTATTTCACTATAAAATGAAAATTTCTATTTAATTGTAAAAAAGTTTGCCAGCTATTTATTAGAAATATATTATAGCTGGTATTATGAAATAATGGTAAATTAAAGTTGTATGATATTTATTTGATAAAAAAAATACTGAAAGTTCGATTTAACTGGATCTATATAATGATTGAAATTTACTTATTATTATCTTACTTATCTAAGAAAAACGTAATAATGAAATTACGAAATAAAATATTTAAATAGCGCAAGATAATCTAGCTACAGTTATATATGTATATATTATATATTATATCTCGAACTAAAGATATAAGATATTTCGAACAAAAATTTCGAAAGTAAATTTTATAAATCCATTGTGAAAAATGTCATTAACTATCGTATTATTAAAATACAAAAAATATAAGGCTATTATATTACAAGTCCAATGTTATATTATAAATCCAATGACCATTATGAAAAATATTATTAATTACTTTGTTATTATATTGTAACTACTATGTGATAAAATATATGAAAGATATCATATATTTATATAAAAATATATTAAAATTATCATTATACAGAGTGAGCTATAAGTAATAATAATTGGAGATAATTCTACATGAAGAGATAAATAAAAAATTTAATATGAAATTTTTTTTATCCGAGGCCTTGTTTTTGAGAAAATCAAAAAATATATCAAAGAACAATTATTCAATTCAAGTGTTAAATATATTACACAATATTAAAACAAAAAAAAATTATATAATAATTTGATAAATTAAAGAACAAAAATATATATAGTATTCGCTTAATTCATCGAATTGAATTACATATATATGTTGCAACGGCAGCGAAATTTCCAATAGTAATAACGATAAGAAATTGAATATTTTGCAAAAACCTGTTGTCATTTATTTTTTTATCGTTTTCAATGAACAGAAACAACCAAGAACAAAATAAATAATCAAGTTGCATTTACATTAAATTGTATCGATTTTCTCGAAAGCGAAATTTCAGACGAAAAAATTTTATACCAATTTTTTGTTTACTTTCGCACCTCCATTGTTTTACCAATCAATACTGTATGAATCTTATGATATAATCTTTCATTATTTTATTATATATTATTTTATTTGGACTTTTATTATTTTAAAAATATTTTCATTTATTAAATTAGTAAATATATTTAATATTTGAATAACTAAAGTCATGAATGCACCATAAAACGAGTATGCTGGATTTTAAATGATCTGTTATAGTAGAACTCCACTTACGAGATGAACTTGTCTGGAAACAAATAGTTTATATAGTTGGAGTTGTTACAATAGATCCACTGATTCTCCCCTCTATTGGTAATTTTTCGTACATGTAAGACTTTCAGGGTTCAAATAAATGAATTCAATCGACAGGAGTTCATTTAATCGAACATCGATTAAAATTTGGTTAGAATAAATAAACTACAATATAAACTACAAACGGAATTATACTGTATTATATTTTTTTCTTTTTTTGTTTTTTCCTCGTAAACAAACAAAATTTTAGGTATATACAATGTGTGTGGATGACAAACGTAAATCGACTAAAAATACTAATTGATATTTCCAGGTCGTACTTGATTCTTGGCCAAGAGAGCGATGGCGGAGGTCAAGGTGGACTGACAGTGACACAAAGGTCGATTGTGATCGAATGGCGCGACGAGTGGCATCGTCGAATGCGACGCTTCCAGCGGAGGGCGAAATCGTGCCATTGAACTAATTTGCATCACACCAAGGAAAATTAGACGGAGAAAGAAGGGAAGATAGAGAAAATAGCGGAGAAGAAAGGAATGGAAACAAAAGAAAAAGAACAAACAAGAGAGATAGAGAAATAGAAGTTAAAACTTTACTCGTATACGTAGAAAAGGATGCACATTCATTTTCAAAACTGCCAATAGCTGTATGTACTCTCGCATACTTACTTCACGCATGAAATAAAAATACTCGACGACATCCTAAGATTAATGATAAGTAACGATGAAACTCAAATAAAATGAAATGCAAGTGAGAATCGAAATTTATGTATCGTAGAATATAGACAGATTCCATGTTGTATAAAAAGATTTATAATTTGTTGAAGCCAAATACGTCGGAAATCAAACATCTATATCTATAAAAAGGAAAATTTCTTTTATTTTTCTTTAATTATATATTTGATTATTGCAATAGTTTTCTTTGATTATTTTCATTGAAACGACACTATCTAACATTTGACATTTACTTGAGATATTTACATACGTATAATATCACCAGTAAAGCAACAAATAAAAATCAATTTCAATTCAATATATTAGTACATAAAATGTCTATGTTATATATTTAAATCGTAGAAAATATAGTAGAAAAGAAAAATATTAATTAAAATACTAAAAAAATTTTTTAAATTATTTAATTTAAGTATTAATCAGGAAATAGTTTCATTGAAGACTACTATGTTCTTAAAATGATGTAGTTTCGTTAATATTTATCTAAAAATAAAATGTTATGTTATGCAATTCCTATATATGTTAAAAACATATTCATCAAATTTTTAGTAACATTTTTGCATCTTAGAATTTTATTTAATAAATTAAAAATTTATTAGATAAATTACAAAGTTTATTTAATAAGTAAGAAACGTATTTATTGTACCTATTGTACCTATCAAAAATTAATATACACATCTCTGTATGCGTTCCTTATAATTTTTATATAAAACGTATAAAACAAGTAAATTCCTATTATTTTACAATGTATTACTGTATGTGTTTTTGCAAAATAATAATTTTTTTTTAGTTTTGAAAAGAATTGTGTATACATTGTAATAACAAAATTTCTCACATGCATTTCATGGAACCAAAAATGCAATATCTTGCATTAAATTAGACTTAGACGTTTATATCAATATACATTTTCTATAAATTTATAGTTTGTATTTCTCTTTCTGTTCAACTTATATTATAGATCAGAAAAAATTGAAATTACAGAATAACGTACAATAAAAAGGTGTTCCGTTTTATAAATTATAATTTGTAAATTGATTGACACATAAGCTATGTTGCAGTTCAAATATGGAACAACCTATGTATTCCATTTTTTACAAATCTAACGTTTTTGATCCCTTTTGCTCAAAATATGAGAAAAAAAATTGATAAGAATATATGCCATTAAATGTATTAATATCAAATCGAATGTGCAGTATTGGATAGTGAATTAGAATTATATGCATATCAGTTATAATTGCCATTTCGTACAAACGTGTAATTTTCATATTTTATTATGCTACTAATATATTAAAAATTCGAAGAATATGCAACATTAACACGCGTAAGCAAAAAGATAATACGACATAATAAGTTTATTAATAAATTTATAACACTTTCATATTTTCTTTAATTCGAACTAAATTCAAATTGAAGATGGGTTCGTAAAATTTATCATAAAATATATAGTATGTCAAAAATAGAAAAAAAAAAATTCATTTCATCCAGTTGGAGATATCTGTCTAAAAACTTGTTTTTCTAATTTTTAAGATGTGTATGTAACTCTAAACAAAATCAAAATTACTATTATCCCCTTTTATTTTATAGAATTTATAGAGATATGCCATAGGATACATCTATAATACAAGCAAATTACTCAATCAAATAACAATATACAATATTATGTATAATTTACATAATAATTGAAATAAGCACGGTATTTATCATTGCTTGTAATTTGCCGATACATTTAACACGAATTTAGACAGACTAGTTTTTATTACATCAGATTTTTTTTATTTTACACATGCTGTAAATTTTATTAGGTTTTATTGTTAAAAAAATTATGGACACAGACTTTTTTTGGCAAAAAGGATCTTTATATCGTGTGTAACAAAGTCTTTGAATCGTTCTTGCAAATGGCGATACTTTATCTCTCTCAGTCGGAATAAGTTTATAACTTTGTAAATGATTTTTTTCCCGCTCTCAGACTTCCCATTTTTCTCATGTAATCTTTTTTTTTTTTAATTTATTTATTCTCCTATCATTCGATTATCATAAATCGATCACATTTACGAAAATATAAGCGTACGTTGAATGTAGATTTTCTTGTACATTTTCTATATAAATTATTAAGATTCTTTTCTAGTTGATATTATTATTAGTATTATTATTGGTAGCAGTAGTGATAATAATAGTAGTAACGATTATCGAAAAAATATAGAGGCTAAGTTCGAAATATGTCGAAATAACTATTCATCGAAATGATCGGTTACTACTTATTACAAAAAAAAAAGTTATCATAACTGCCATCTTACTTGAAATATTACAATAATTAAAGGTAATCTTGTTGTCGTCACGATATTTGACGAGACATTAAAAAAAAATGGTATTTACTTAGTTTAATACGCTTTATTATAAAATTTCGTATAAAAGAATATGTGTATATTAATAATCAGAAATTTCCTTTTACAATTACATAACATAAACATAATTGTTCTTCCGAACATTAAAACTTGTTTTTTCTGCATGCTATTCGTGTATACTTCGACAATAAAATATACCCCGATTATGAAAGTTTTACAAATGAAATGGAGAACGTTATTAATTAATTATAAACAACATTCACATATACAGATACATTAAATAGATAATTGTCGTGCTTAACAATTAAGTTCCTAACAGTGAACATATACCATACAGTTTTCCATTGAAGTTTTAAACTCGTTACATCAATTATTGCGAATTTTTTACGATATTCAACAATTTATTTTGTTATCAACTCCTTTTAAATAAACAACAAATAATTATCGAAACTATTAATTCACTTATATATAGGACATTTCACATTCATTTTTACTTAAACGATTCAAACTAAGAATCTTGCTTAATTAACAACAACTTTTCAATTAATTACAAGTTTAACGTTTAGTAAATTCTACTTTATCGAACATTTCTGTGCATTTTTATTATGGTATATATCATAATTTTAATTTTAATAATGAACACATCATATTATTCTTAAGATATCCTGTACTTGTTTATGTCAACATTTATTCTTGTTGGCATTTTTTATCTCAAGTCGCGAAAATTTTATTTCCAAAGGGTTTCTATTAAGCAATAAATTTTCATTAGTTTATAATATTATAAACCCATGGAAAATTTAAAATTTACTTAAAAATCTCTGAAATAAATTAAAACTCGGAAAAAAACTAAATTTTTAAGTGATTTAATACCATCTAATAATAAATTTCACGGCAATGAAAACTCCGTTTCATAAAGAGTATAGTTTGTCATTTTTAAACCAAGTATATAAGAAGTATAAGAAGTACAAGAAACGTAAAAAGTGAAGCAATTTCCAAATTTAAAAAATCCTTTATTAATTACTAGTAAAAATCGAAACAAAGAATTTGTAGTACAATTTTAAATGAAATTTCAGTTTAAGAAATTAAAATAATCCTAATTTGTAATAAAAACATACTTCTTGAATGGAAAATAACAAAACATTCTATATAGCAATACAATGTATTTATGTACTTACCATATTAATGAGTATCGAATGCTGCATGTGTTCATGTGACCATAAGCAGACTTATTAAAAAAAAAAAACGACCAAAAATTATATCCTCTAAATCTTAATTTACGTGGTCCTTTTAGGAGTTTTCACACGTAGAAGAATTCGTTTCTAGTTATTATTTTTAATTACTTAATCACTAAAATATATTTTTATTACGAAAGAAAGTTTCACAATAAAGAAAAGTTTTTCCATTTGTTTTCCATATCATTCTTATTGTAATAGGACTTGACAAAATCTTTTGCCATTTTCTGGAAAAAAGTTCAGTTGGATCATTCTTCCAAGTCATAATTTTCAAAACGCTAAAAAGGAACCACGCGAATAAAGACAATGAACATAACTAGCGATACTCGATTGAAAGACTATTGTTCAACATTGATCACAAGAAAATTTTTGTAAAAGAATCATGCTTTAATTATTATAATCTCATTGTTTGTGAGACATTACTTCGAAGATTCACTGTTTCCGTCGCCTATGCTATAATTACGTGTATAAAATGTACCAACGTAAAATAGCTTTAGTATAAGTAAAGAATATATCAGCTATTCGCAAAATTAGTACATATATTTGAGTGTTAGAAAAAAAAAAACGATACACGTACAGACATGATGTAATTGCGAGAAAAATCGATCGATCGATGTGGTTTGTTATTTCGATAAAGTCGTTAACGATATCGTAACCGATCGAATTTTGTAATATTACAAAAATACGTGTTTAATTCCGTTCTATCTATTTCGAAATAATTTGTATACATCTTCCAATCCTTTTATAGATGACTTAGGAATTGGAATAATGTAACACCTTGATTTTTTGCATTCTGAAAACTGTCCGCATTAAAATTTACAACAAGAAATAACTGTGTTTATTCAATTTCTTTCACAAAGATACGACATCGATAGATAAAAATTTGTTCTCATTGTTAGTAATCAAAAAATAATATCAAACGAACAATTCATATCTATACATATTCATAAAACAGACTGCAAAAAATTAACAGTTAAAAATTAACGATCATTCGATGTCATATACCTATACAAAGTACACAATATAGAAATTGTACAACAATACAAGTAGCTAACAATATAGAAATAAGGATCTTAGTTGCGTTGTTCAATTCCCTTTGTGCTAAAAGCAGAAACTGTACCGTTTAATTGAGAATCGCGCGACAGCATCGTAGGTGGAAGAATACCGATTATTATAGGTCCGAGAGTTTACGAAATTCTTGACCAGTTGTATATCGTAGAATATACGCGATATCACAATAAGTGTGCTATTTATACCTCTACATTATTAATCGATTACTGTTGTACCACGATTACGATTTAGATTCGATTAAATTATTAAGTGTATCGTTGTGTATTGTGGTGTAATAAATGTGATTAGTTGTATGAATAATAAATACAATGCATAAGAAAGATATAGATCTGTCATATTGATTTATTTCTACCTTTCTTTATAATCAATGTAATATGTAATATCACAAATAAATTTGTAAATAGAGACTTTTTACTCTGCTATAATTTGATTTTCTTTAATAATTTTATTAATTCTGAGAACAAAATAACATGTCTATTTACTCATTAAACTTAATACCTGATAACCGATTGGGAAGCAAAGCAGGATAACTAAGAAATTCTAATAACATTGTCCAATGAATTTTAACTTCTTTTTACGTTTCACATTCAAAAATGTATTGAATGTATATATGAAAATTTTTGTCTTTTGTTTCGAGAAAATTAATTTCAGAAAAAGGAAATGTTTTTCAGCTTTTAATACACAGCTTTTTTATGTTTCAACTGTAAAAGTTTTAAACACAAATATTTTATATAAAAAATAAATATTATATAAAAAATAATTCTACAAGCTTCCAAATGTAACAATAATATTATAAACATTTAAACATATTTAAAGAATACCCAAAGTAGAAAAGGCCTCCAGAATGTACCAATTTTTGTAAATAGTGTAGACTCCATTATTTGAATCAAATTTCAATGTATGCCCGATTAGACTCTTTGGTCTTCGATCCATTTTGGAGTATTGTACAATTAATTTTATAATCAATAATAAAATAATAAAATTCACTTAGAGCTTTAAGAACGATAACACAATGCAATATATCGAAAGACATGTGTTTCAAGATGAATGCATTTTTAAATTTGTTACATGCTTTTCATTTAGTATTAACCCTCTTACGAGGGACAGTCAAAAAGTAAGTTTCACTCGTTTATAGCTTTTTGTGTATTAATATAATAACCCTTTGCACTCCAAACTATTTTTCAATTTTTCTTTTTTTTTTTTGGCAATTTGACTGATAATTTAAAAATATCGAGTACGACTCAACATAAGAGTTCCTGTAATAAAAACTGTTGTCGAGTCACAATTGACAAAGAAGTGCAAAGGGTTATTATTATAAAGATATTTCGAAACAATGTACAAATTTAATACTTCTACTTTGAAGTTGTGTCAACGACTGCCGCTACAATCTGTTATTTGCTACCAATCGTAAAACATGCAAAGCACACTAGAAATAGCATCCAAATTGAAGATCCGTGCTATCATTCGCTTTTTTGGAAAAAAAGTGTTTCCGTACTGAAATTTATCGTCAATTGTGTGATGTTTATTATTATTATGAAATATCAAACTATTGGGAAATGCATTTCATTCAAGAATGGGCGTACGGATATTAAAGACAATTACCGAGACGGAAAGCAATCAACTGTGACAACAAATGTCAATATTGAAAGTATTAAGGAACTAATTGATGCAAACAGATGACTCAGTATTGATTCTTTGAAAAAATTGCGAAAAGCGATTAAAGATCGATGACCAAGAAAGTTGAGAAAGACATTATCCTCCTCCACGACAATGTCACACCACATTCGGCACGATTCACGAAGGACCTGTTGCAAAAATTTAAATGGAAAATGTGACAACATCCTCCATATAATTCGGACCTGTCACCTTGCGGACAATTTCCACATTTTTGAAAGCAGAGCTTGCAAAGCGACAGTATCATTCGAACGAAGAAGTGTCAACATACAACATACAACTCAAGGATGATCATCGCAAGATAGACGGAATTTTTTTAACGAAGAAAAATCAAATTCAAAATCATTTTTCAAGGTAATTCTTTTAATAAGTTTGATTCTCATGATGAATAGACAAAGAAAATTTTAAAACGTGTTAACTGAATCTCAAGGACAATTTTATAAAAATATTTTTTAACAAATCACCTGCTTTTTACTGCATTATACTTTTTACTGCGTTTTTAGACATTTGCTTTTTTTTAATAATTAAACAATTAAAATGTTTTCTTTTGTTAGTTAACAAACAAGTTAATGAAATATCATATAATGAATCGCATGTGTAATTCACATGTGATTTATGTTACTTATATTTGATATTTTATCATATTCAAAACCATAAATCAGATTTGTCATGAATGTTAACTCTGAAACTTTATAGAATATTAACTTCTTTTTTAAAAATTTGTATAGAATATTTAATCTCTCATTTTGTTGTAAATGATTAACGTTAATCGTCGTAAATAATACAATAATAATTAACTAATAATAAACATTAATAATTACTTAACAAAATTTTAACGAAAATGAATAATTGTGAAATGTAATAAAAATTACAATATATGATTTATGAAAGTTTTCGTGAATTTCGTTACTACGGTTCAAAATTATGATAGTCTACATTGCCATCTAATCTTACATTATTACCTCTCTTATATTGATGCATTATTTTATTCAAATTCAGTTATATTAAATTATCTATAATATAAATTAATATTTTGATATGTCATTCTTTGATATAGAAAGAATTTGAAATATTTCACAAAATACCTATTAATTGTATTTTAATACTCTTTTATATGGTAGAAAATAATATGCAATTTTATTTAAACTTTTCATAAGCATATTAACACTTATGAAAAAAGATAAACATTCCTATATCATTTTCTTTCTATTATACAACTATTTTCTGTGTCTCTAACTCGAAATGTAATTTTGCACTAATTACATAACTCATTTTGTATACCAGTCAAAACCCTTAATATCACTTCTTTAATTTCAAACTTTCACTTTTGATTTAAATTTAAATAGCAGAAATAAGAATACAATTTAAATAACAATCGCTTAAGATTGTAGTAAGTAAATAATTCTTATAATTTTATTTGAATTATTTTCTCTCGATCTTGTAATAACTTATCTTTTACATGTATGCAAGACATGACTTATACTACATTTTCTTTCATATCTCGAAAACGTATAGATCTATAGTATATATCATATTTTTTATTCAAAATGATCTACCAAACATTTTGGCAAAATCTGACGGCTTAGATTTGGAATATCTTACATATGATTATTTAAAATTAGCGTTAATTTGTAAATTGGCAATTTCTGTTTTTATACTGAGGCAACAGATGGCGCTTTAAACGTAGAAATGCAATTTACTTTAAGTTGTGATTTAAATATTTATTTCGCAAAAACATAAGACAGTGATAGAACAAACAGCTGTTAATTACAAATATACAATAATCTGTAATCATGTTTTTACCTTTACGCGTCAGTCGCGTACTTGCTGTAAGTTATTTTTGACAATAATATGATGTATATCGTAATTCCTAGTATCATAACCTCTTTGATAATCTTATATAACTTTGTTTATTTATATAAATTTATTATATATTTGTGTTTAATAAAATCAGTTTTAGATTTTATATTACTAAAAATACTTTTTAACATGATTATTAAGCTATTTTTTATATTTTTGTTCATTTAGAGTAAATACGTATTAAAGATCTTACTATCTAATGTCAGATAATTTTATGTACTATTCTTAATTTGACAAATATATCATCCATTTATATATATTAATATATATGATGCAAACATTATATTCTCCAAATACCTTAATTATTTACCTTACATCTAGAGATTTCAATTTGTAAACATATTGAAATTGCTTTCTCCTTCCTAATGAATTTTTTCTTTCTTCCTTCTTGAATAATTAGAGATTTTGAAATATATTTCAATTATTATTATTCTTTTGCTCAAACAGAATTGCAAGAATGCTAGAGGATTACATACTTCAAGCATTTTTACCTCAGATCAATTATTTGTTGTATGTATTACATAAATATAAAATTAATAAATGTTTTGCCAATATTAATTTATTTTAATTTTAATAGCATAGAGACAGCGAAGTTGATAATCCAAGTATACCGTTTGAGTTCAATGAAGCAAATAAGAAACGAATTGAAGCTCTTTTGAAAATTTATCCTGAAGGTCATAAACGTGGTGCAATGATACCTCTATTGGATTTAGCTCAACGTCAACATGGATGGTTACCCATTTCTGCAATGCACAAAGTGGCAGAAATACTAAATGTTCCTCGCATGCGAGTCTATGAAGTTGCAACATTTTATACAATGTTCAACAGAAGACCAATGGGAAAGTATCATGTACAAATTTGTACTTGTACACCATGTTGGTTACGAGATTCTGATTCTATTGTAGAAGCTGTAACCAAAGCTACAAATTGTAAAGTTGGTGAAATGTCAGCAGATAAATTATTTACTGTTTCTGAAGTGGAATGTCTTGGTGCTTGCGCTAATGCACCAATGTTCCAAGTTAATGATGATTACTATGTAAGTATAAGTATAATTTCATGAAAATACTTCATTTGAACCATCTTTTCATTTTTGAAACATTTTGAATTGAAATTATTTTAATTATGCATTAAAAAAATTTCATTATAAAACTCTCTTAAATAAGCTTATTCTATTGTCAAAATAAAAATATTAGAAACAAAATATTTAATTATTTAGAATTATAATGTAAATATGAATAATTATGAATGTAAATATATATAATACTAATATGTATTATAGGAAGATTTAACACCAGAAACTGCTACTACCATAATAAATGCACTTAAAAAAGGTGAAAGACCACCACCAGGGCCACAAAATTCTCCTAGATTTGCAGCAGATCCAGCATCTGGCTTAACATCATTGACTTCCCCACCACCAGGACCTGGATTTGGTGTTAGATCAGATTTATAATTTATTGTATATATATAAATAATATATGCAGTCTGTCAAGAATTTAGCACTGATTGAATGTATAAATAGAATGTCTAATACTTAAAAAATAACATGAAATGTAATCAATTGTACCTTACACATTTAAAAACTAACGATTTTCGATTTTATTTGTTAATTATTAATTGAAATTTAATTCTGTTTTTTATTTAGATATAATTACATATAATTGTTAAGAGCTGTATTATAATGTGTGTATATGTGTATATATATATATATATATATATATATATATATATATATATATAATCAAATTTTTCAAATATGTGTAAAAATTTCTCCCATCAAAACTTCAAAAAATAAATTTGAATGATTTGATACAAATTTTACAAAAATATTTGGAAATTTCTATAAAAAAAAATTTTTACAAACATTTAATATATGCAATAAATTGTTTATAACCGTCTATACGTTCATATATTATTTTATCATATTATGATCATAAAAATTAAAATATTAAATCCATTTTAATTTATACACTTTCTTTTAATCTATACATAAACATGAAATATGAAATCTTAACCTAATTCTAGGAGTAGGAATCTTTAGTAATAGACATAATTTTAATTATATAATAATTATATTTAAATTAATTTTCGAAGAAAAGTAAACAAAATTTTAGTTAAACTAAAATACTGTAAGTATAATTAATTTACAATACTGTAAAAGAATTTAGATGTTAATCAACCAGAACGAATTTTGAACATTGACCAACATTTTATAAAATACAATACTAAATTTTAAAAAAAGAAACGAATATGTATATATATATATATCATTTTAAATAATTTATAATTGCTTCTATCATTGTATAATACATCTCATTAAATCATTCTGTTCTTTGACATTTACTTCCTATTTATAACAAATTTCTTAAATGTTTTAATTTTTAAATAATTCATTTTTCTTGTATTGTTAGGTGGTTACATTAAAAAAAAGAAAAATACATATACATGATAGTTTTGCATAACATTTCATTAATAAATATTCTCATAAAACCTAAATAAAAAATTTTAAATCATCGCTTTATATTCTGGAAATATAAAAAATTGAAAATTCTAAAATAACAATTCTCATAAAAATTCTCGTAAAAATTCAAAGGTCTCACGTTACTCTAAATATATATTCAATTGCGTTATATACAGTAAATAGTAAAGCAATGATGCATATTGAACACGAAGATTTAATTCGCATGTATCGAAATGATTTAAAGAAAACATATTTTTCAATGACAGAAACAAAAAATTTACAAAATTTTAATTATGTTCTATGTATATATTTCAAATTTATTAATGATTATTATTTCATAAATTCGTTTTATGGTAAAACGTTGAACGTCTCAGATTATAGTTATAAATTCAAGCGAAATAGTGACATTGAATATTCTCCTTTTAATGTCATACAATAAATTTAGTCTAGATGGAGCTACTTGTTTAGTGAATATATTAAGTTTTGAGGTTATAGCAAGTTTGTGCAAGAATAACATTGGTAGTGTTATTGTAATACAGCATTGTTTAGGCAAAGAATCGTCCTTTCATTCGGACGAAAATTAGACTTCTTAAAACAATTATGTGAGCAATTAAAGCTTGCTGATCAATTCTACGTCAATATGTCGGCTCCGAGCGACGTTAAAACAATGCAAGCGTACAGATTGGCCTTCCTGGCCGTCTGACAAATATGAACTTATGGCATAATTTCATAACTTTAGAAAGCGATCATGGTCAAGGAAAAACCAAATTCAATCCGTATTTACGATTCAGAAGGTTATAGACGTAGAGCTGCATGTATTTGCGTCAAGAACGATCTTGAAGATGAGGTGAGCCAGCAGATGGCACTTGATATTTTACCTTTCATTAATATAGCTATATTTTTATTTATTCTAATTCAATTATTATCCTTTATTTCAATGAAATAAATACAAATTGTATTTTTGTATAATTTATAATGTAGGTACTTTTGGTTACATCCAGTCGAAGACCTGATAGTTGGATAGTACCTGGTGGCGGTGTTGAACCAGAAGAAGAACCCGCAGTAACAGCATTAAGAGAAGTCAGAGAAGAAGCTGGTGTTTTAGGACAATTAGGCAGATGTCTTGGTATATTCGAGGTATTAATTTTCTTAAAAAACATAATTATTCATTATTTGCAATTATTTAACACAAACATAATAGAAACGAAAATATAGAATGAAAATATTTCATAAATGAGTTATTCAAACATATGTGGGTGATTAAATTAACTTTTTTTTATTTTTATAGAATGTGGAACACAAACATAGAACACAAGTATGGGTTATGCGAGTAACAGAAGAGCTGCCAGAATGGGAAGATTCACGCGCTATTGGTCGAAAGCGAAAATGGTTCTCTATACCAGAGGCCTTGCTACAGCTTGCTCAGCACAAGCCCGTCCAGCGTTCTTACATACACAGTCTCCACAATACCAATCCTCGACATAATCCCAATATTTCACCATCTCATCATTCACATACTACTGTAACGTCTATTCAGTTAATGAATAATTCTAGTAACAATCCTCATCTTAACAAACATAGCTAATATTAAATACCATCCATTTGCGTGAACAATTGCTATCAAAATGTTAAATATTTGTTGCTGCTCCTTTCCTTTCATACAGTTACTAAAGTTGTATTTTATATGTAAAATGATCATTTATACATTTTTCCTTTCCTTTTTTCATTCTTCTCTTTTTGTTATTCGTAATACAATCGCAGTGGGTCTTGTTAATATACTGTACTAGTACTGCTACTATACAATTACTACCATCATTACTATCACTATTACTACTATTGTGATTAATATTGCTATTCTACTATTAATACTATTATTATTACAGATACTATTATTATTATCATCATCATCATCGTCATCATCATTATTATTGTCACTGACTTTGCTGTTATCGACGTTATACTTATTCATATAAATTAGTTAATAAACTGGTCCATAAAGGAGCAGTTTCTTCAACTTAATTTTCATTTTTTGTCAATTTTTTAACGAAAATAGTGCTTATACTCGATGTATAAATAAGTACATAATTTTCATACGTAAAGTGGATGGTGTTTTATGCAAAAAAAAAAAAGAAAATTCCACAATTAAAATACTTCTCTCATGTTTAAATATACTCAAAGAATGTTATAAATCTCATGATGAAACATATCTGTGTCTTAAGAGTTTGTTTTGAAAGAATTTTATTGGTATGTGATAATGATTTAAATTTGTTTGTATAACAATTATTTTGCATACCGTGACTATATATAGTTTACAAACTGAATTGTTTCCAGAATTACACTAGGGATTGTTTAGAATATGACTTTAAAGGAAGCAAAATTTTCTTCATATGCCATTAAAAAAAGGCTAGTATGAAATATTTACATGTAAAGTGAAATATAAATACGTGGGTGCACTGTAAATTTTTGTAAAATTTTATTTCTTGTTATTATGTATTTAAATTTTCTATGACTTCCTAAATGTCATTAGTCAAATATTATAATTTCATAATAATGTCATTAATTTGTATTGTTTCAAATTAATTCGCACAAAAAATTGCAAATAAAATACAATGAAAAAATATTGCAAAAATGTTGATAGACTAGTCAATTTAATGAAAATATATACATCTATATTCACTTAGTCACGTATAATGTTTTTCGCACAACGTTCCATCCACGTGTTCAACCCGTATCTCTGTTATTAGAGAAAGGTAACTTTTTAGAAATTTATATTAAGAATAAATTTGTTATTGCTATATTGAAATTTTTTAAATAGTATTTTAAACTAAAACATTTTACCAAAAACAACAAACTCAGAGAATATTATATATTTTTATATATTGTTTCATTTCATAGTGAGGTTAAGTTACTCGTTTATATATTTAATTATTTAAGTTTTTCTTATTTCTAATTACAGCTGTATCTTTCTTAAGATGACTTTCTATAAAGAAATTACTAAAGAAATGGAACATGAGCAAATAGATGAAATGGATGAGAATATGGAAGAGAGTAGCAGTGACAGTGATGAAGAAGATTCAATGGGTAGTGATAAAATAGAAGAAAATGAAGATCAGAAGAATGAATCTAAGATATATCTTCCTGGAAAGCCTCTAAAAAGTGGAGAAGAACTTGTTGTGGACAAAACAGCATATCGAATGTTACATCATGCCCAATCGGGCGCTCCTTGTCTTAGTTTTGATATTATTTTAGATGACTTGGGTAATAACAGAGAAGATTACCCATTAAGTATATATCTTGTGGCTGGAACTCAAGCTGCTAAAACACATGTTAACAACCTCCTTGTTATGAAAATGAAAAATCTGTATGATATAAAAGATGATTCTGATGATGACTCAGATGATGATGAGTTAAATAGTGAAATTGATATGAATACACCAGTTATGTCTGTTGCACCAATAAAGCATCAAGGTTGTGTCAATAGAGTTAGGTAAATATATATTTTTATTATTTTTTAATATAGATAAATTATGTAAATAATTTGAAAACAAAATTTACCACTAATGAAAATATGTTTATCTATTTCAGATATATGAGAATTGGCGAAAAAGCTTTTGCTGCAAGTTGGAGTGAATTAGGACGTGTACATATTTGGGATTTGAATAAACAGTTAAATGCACTTGATGATGATGAATTACTTCGCACATATCGTAAAAAATGTGAAAAAAATGATGGGATCATCAAACCAGTATTCAGTTTTAAAGGACACCTTTCAGAAGGATATGGCCTTGATTGGTGTTCAACAGAAGTAGGCATACTAGCTTCTGGCGATTGCAAGGGTAATATTCATATATGGCATTTTAGTAATAGCAATAATTCTGCAATTTGGCATGTGGATCAGAGGCCTTATAATTCACATGCACCACACAGTGTTGAAGATATTCAGTGGTCACCTAATGAAAGACATGTACTTGCTTCATGTTCTGTTGATAAAAGGTATAATCTTAATTAATGTTTTAAGAGATTCATGTAAATTTTTAAATCGATTTACATTTTATTATTTATTTTAATATCAAATTTTTAATATACTTTTGTATTTGTACTATTTAGTATCAAAATTTGGGATACAAGAGCAAATCCACAATCTGCATGTATACTAACAGCATCTGGCACACATACTGCCGATGTTAATGTCATCTCATGGAATCGTAAAGAAAATCAGTTTCTTATATCTGGTGGTGATGATGGTTTACTTTGTATGTGGGATTTACGTCAGTTTGGTCCTAATGGTTCAAGTCCAGTAGCCATATTTAAGCAACACACTGCACCTATTACAACGGTAGAATGGCACCCTCAAGATGCCAATGTATTTGCTTCTGGTGGAGCCGATGATCAAATTGCTCAGTGGGATTTATCAATAGAACCTGAGCAATCAAAAGAAATAGAATATAATGAATTAAAAGAACTGCCACCACAGTTGTTATTTATACATCAAGGTCAAACTGACATAAAAGAATTACATTGGCATCCTCAATGCCCTGGTACTGTAATATCAACAGCACATTCAGGATTTAATGTATTTCGTACAATTAGTGTATAATCTATCTAATAAAATGCAATATTTATAAAGTCATTTTTATTATATCGAATTTTTTTATAGCACTTAGTAGTTATTTTTTTTTCTACGTGTTAAAATGCTTTTAAATATTTTCATCTTATCTTTGTGTTAAAGAATTTTTGAAGACAAATTACTATTTAAAAGATGTAAAGTAAATAAGAAACAGTTACAGTAATCTTTTACGACATTTTAAAAAACTAAATTTTTTAATTTTCACATTTTTAATTTCATTAAAATATAGTTGATATAAGGATATATCAGATAATTTTCAACTAATTTAGAATCCAGAAATTTAGGTTGAATCAATCAAAACATAATCATCATTTGACATTATTTTATTTCAATTAAATTGGATATTTAAAATAGAAACCTGCAAGAATAATAAAATTATAAATATATATTTAATCATTCAGTAAGAATTTAAAATGTTCTATCTTTAATCATTTTCTACGAAATATGTAGATACAAAGAATTGAATGGGTACTTGAATAAGTTTCGGCCGCTGATAGTTGGTATTACCAATACTGTGTGTAGTAGTTTAAGATGGTGACGCATCTATATACAAGTACTATAAACAAGCTTTAAAATTCAGTATAGTCCATTTGCATTGTTAACAACAAATTTTTCTATTGCATTGAAAATGTCGAATTTTGTGCTGACAAATTGCAAGACGTTTTACTCCATTCGTTTTAAAGAAAAGTAGCTGAGAGTTATCGTCTGTTTGCAGAAATTTATATTAATCCTCCATCTGAAAAAACTTGTAGAGAATGATTTCGAGAAGGCGACTACGATGAAATTTATTTAAGTACTCAATAATTATTTCTTTTTTTGTTTATATTTTCATTTCCAAATAATTTAATTTAACCTTAGAAATTATTTAATGTAATAACAAATAATATTTAAATAACAAATAATAACTCAATGTAATAACAAATAATATTTATTTTTCATAAGTTACTTCGTATACGTATTTATTTTTCATAAGTTACTTTGTATACGTATTTCAAGATGGTTTTAAATTAAATTTCATTTTTTTATTATTTCATATACATATAATACATAAAAATATAATTTATTTAGATATAAGATCCAATGATAATAAATGTCTTATTGTTGGTCTACCATGAGGACAACTCCAAGGATTTTCCATTTGTGCCATTTGAATAACTAATTTATGCATGTCATTATTATTAAGAGCAGTACCAATCATAACTGCCTTGCGACAAGCTCTTGATGCTAACATTTGTCTTACTCGACTTGGACGAAATATATTTTTGTCTTTGTTTTCTATACCACCTTCTCTAATCAGGAAAATTAATTCTTCAATGTCTTCTTGTCCAAACTGCCAAGAACCACTAACTGGTATACCAGTCAGTTGTACACGATGTCCAGATTCGGCTGAAACCAAATATTTAAAGTTACATTTATTTATATTTGAATAATTTTAAAACATTATTTCCTCAAAAGTAATAATTATTTATGATATAAACAATTTTTAATTTATTTTGTTTACCTTCAGTATTTATTTTGAAAAAGAAACCATTATCTTCAAACGTTTTTTGATGTTCAATTAATATTGTTTCATTAAGTGCAGAAATATTTAAAAATTTAGGAACAATTAATTTTTGAGTTTTTAACTGCGTTTCATTATTAAGTTTTTCAAAACGATATTTTTCATCAGTAGCATGTTGATCAATAATGAAAAGATCTTCTTTCAAACGTGTTATTATAAAACCAAGATTAAATTGACCTATAATTTCCATCTGTAAAATATTCTTTTTTTCTACAGCTGCATAAAAAAGTAACCATTATATTACACTCATATGATAATAATTTATAAAATGATATTAAATTAAAAAATTAGAACTTGTATAATTGAATAATGCATAAATGTTATAACCTCTAAAAACGAATTTTTCGTTAATTGTCTTTTCAATTCATTTTCAGCCTTTGAATTTTGATCCATTTGTGCCTTAAATTTGATCCTTGTACTTGAAACTATGCATTTGGGTAAAAGCTTTTGTTTCTTTTGAAGTTGTTGTTTTATTGTTAGAATGCTAATTGGCATTTCTATGTCGTCTATTATTTTTGCCTGATTTGTTATGTTATTTTGTACATTATCATTATCATATTGAATAGTTTTATTTTCATTAATACATTGTATATTTTGTGTTTCTGTATATTTTGAATGTATATTTGATGTATTTAAATTATGAAATCGTTTAGTTGGTCGACATTCATTTGTAGGTGAAATTGTTCTTTTTACACTAAAATTTAATTCTGGTACAGGATTTACAGTTAAATTTCCTTGTAATTTCTCCCATTCAGATGTTAAATTATATTTTAAAGTTGCTAAAATTAAACGTTCTTGTGTACAAAAGATAGTTCTTTTATTTGGAGTTACATTAATATCAGTTGAGTGTTTATTTAATTTTAAATTTAGAAAAACAAATGGATATTGTTTATTATTATATCTGTGATAAATTTGATTTATTAATTTACTGACTTTTGTCAGATCACATGGTCGATCATTTACATAAAAAAATTGTCTGTCAGGAGCAGAGCGTCCCATATCATGATCACAACTACTTATATAGCAGTCCCATTCAAAATCCATAATTGTATTATTTGATAAATTATATTCTTGCAATGTTGTCTCATCAGCAGGTGACAATTCAACTTTAATTAATCCAGTGGAAGACTTTTTACCAAATATTAGGTTTATATTGTTTAAAATATTACTGGGACTAGTAGTACTAACTACAAGATTAGGAGATTTGTTTGATACACAATTAAAACATGTTATTTTCGTATTAGTAGAAATCAAGCAATAACTGTACAGTACTTGAATAGCATGAACATATTCCTTCTTAAGATTTCTTTGAAATTCTCTTGCTCTAACAGAAAAACACTTAAATATATTTTTTATATGCACAGTAGTTCCTGTTTCTCTTGCACATGGTTCTTTTTTTTGTAGCATGCCATTGTGATCAAATTGTAGCTTAAAACCATGTTTACTTGTACAATGTTTTGTAATAATACTTAAGTCAGCTAATGAACAAAGTGAACTAAGAGCTTCTCCTCGAAATCCAAAAGTGTTCACTTCTGTTAAATCTGAGAATTCCCGAAGTTTAGAAGTATAATGCTTTAATCCTGACCAAACAAGAATAAAATGTATTTAACATAACTATAATCAATTCAATTTTTAAAAAGGCCCATTAAATTTTAATTACATTATATATTTTGGAATTTGTCTTTAATTCTTCTATATTAAATATACAAATTTGCATATATGTATGTACATACCTAGTCCTTCAAAATCTTCTTCTAAAACACCGCTTCCATTATCACTGACACTGATACATGTCTTTCCATAATCTTTCAATTTAATATCAATTAATGTAGCACCACTATCTAAGCTATTTTCTACAAGTTCTTTCACAGCAGTTGCAAGATCAAGTATTACCTAATAGAAATTTTTATATGTATAAATATATTTAAATAATTCAGTAGCTTCAAAAAGAGTATTATGAAATAATTTAAATTTTTTAAATTTAATTTTTTTTGTTACATTTTGTAAAAGCACACATTCAAGTATATTTGAGTTATGATCTTTAGATGACCTATTAACTACATGAATCTATTATTATAAGAATTTATATGTATATATCATAAGTATTCAAACTAATGTCTTTAATCATTTGAAAACAATATAATATTTAAAAAAAAAACATTTTATTGAAATATATTCTGCTAATCAAGTAGATAAATTTTCGAAATGTGCATTATTGAGTAATTTGAATAATTTTCATTAATTAAAAAATAGATAAAGTAAATATGTGATATAATTTTAAACAATAAAATTGTTGAATTTCATTTAATTAATGGACAAAAATAAGAGTTCATATTACATTTACCACATTTTGAGATAATGTTACTTAAAATTATACTTCTTCCATAAATTTTAAATACAAGTGCGTTTTTTCTTTTATTTTATATTTTATATCAACAGAATATTTACAATAGACTGTAAAATCGTATTATATTGTTAATTCAATTTCGACCAAAATATAAAATCCTTATTAAAGAGCATCATTTATTTGTAAAAACATTATAATTATCCACCTTATTATTCATGGATAAGTAATCAAATCAACTCAATAAAAAATTCCCAAATAGGTAAACATTTTAGTCAAGATATTCACAAGATCTAATACCATTAGACAATATTTTTTTGAGAAAATGATGATTCACTTACAACAATCTACTACTTTAAAACATAAAGAATATAGTTATAATTCATGCTGTGTAATCATTTAAATCAGAACCAATTAAAAAAAAAGGTTGTAATCCTTGATTTTCTATTTTAAATAGTATATCAATAATAGGTGTCATCTCGAACATTCTTACTTTATTTTAAATTCTGATTGTTTGATGATTAGATCATTTAAAAATCATAATTTAAAATATTCTCAAATATATTTTAATCTTTAAGAAAGATATCAGTATCAATAAATATCAATGTATCTCAAAGAACAGGAATAAACTTATCTTAAAAGAATTGTTCTCAAACAATGTTTCTGAAATATAAGCAATGTCTCAAACATTTTCCATCATTTTTAATCCTCTACTGGTAATTATATCTTTTTTAACAATAAGGATATAATGTGATTTTATTAATGCAAATTAAAATTAAAATTAATAAAATAGATCATTTTATTTTGTCATGTTTATTAGGAAAATAATAAAAGATAGATTATCAATTTTAAATTATAAAATAATTAGAAATTTAAGAGAAACCATCTCACTTTAAAATCCCAAAAATAATGCCTAGACATTAGAGGATTAACAAAAGAAATATGTACTATTAATATTTTATATAATGAAATTATTATAACTATAAGAATTCCATATTATCTTTTAAACATATGTCTTTAAATGAAAATGTATTATTCTTAAATATTATTATATCAAATATTATATCGTTTTTTTATATTTTATGTGTATAAGCTATACGTTAATGTATGTACTAAAATTCATTACATAAATTAAAACATAAATATGAAAACAGGGTAAACTTATACATTTTAATAAATACGTAGAAGTAATAGAACATATTTATTACTTAAAATGTAGTTGATATTACTAAATATTATTAAATATATGATATTTAAAAACTAAATATTAGCATATTTATAAGTTAACCTCACCTGACCAGAACAAATTTGATGAATTGTCTGTTTATTTATTGCATTAATTTTCTTCGATTTTTCTAACGATGGAATTGGTTCAGTCATTATCAATATATGTAATATGTATATATCGTTTTGTGAAAATAAGTAAAAAATCAAATAGTAATCTATCGTCTATGTATAGGAACATACATTGTCATACAGTTGTAAATTGTTATATGAAATCTAAATAATCTTACGTATAACGATGTTCCAACGTAAAAACTTTACTTTAATGCAAAAATTAGAAAATTATTTACCAAGTATATTCAGAATTATTATTCGAATTATTTTCACGTGACATTTGTTTATAAGATTCTCAAATTTGATTGGATGTTACGAAATGCAAAAATATAAAGGAATAAAATCAATATTTTATCATGACGCGAGATTTGTCATTTACAATAATCTTTTAGATTCTTTCTAATTTTCTAGAAAATGAAAAATAAAATTAAGGTAATATAATATTACAACAATTTTTTTTGTTATGATATTTTATAATTAATTTCTTCATTATACAGCCTAGATATCCCATTTATTTATTCACGCAAGGCAAATAAAATCATAAGCGAACTGTAATGCAATTAAATTGTTGCAAAGTGATTTAAAAATTACAAACTACTACCAAATACGCTACATTTTTCTAATACAATTACAGAAAATATATATTGATTAATGCAAAAATTATTTGTGGAATAAGGAAAGTAGAATGCGATTATGTTATCGCTAAATTGTAATCAAATTCAATTTATAGTACTTACAATGTTCTCAGTAGATAGTTCCACAAACAACAAATCCATTCATAAAAATATAACAAATTATTCTATTAATTGTTACAGTTTTTTTTCATAAAGATAATTAAATGCTTTCTCTCTATTTTAAAAAGGATTTCAGGAGACTAACGAAAATATAACAATAAAAATGAAGATGCGTTTGTTTATTATTAACCTTATGTAATATCGTTTCAAAAATTTTCAATTACATTATTATATATAATAAAAATAAAAATAAAATAAAAATAATGTAATAATAATCGCAATAATTGCAATAACCGCAATAATTATAATTTTAGTAGTAGTAGTAATAGTAATAGTAGTTAGTAGTAGTAGTTGCAGTAATAGCAATAGTAGTAATAGTAGTAGTAACAGTAATAGCAGTAGTAGTAGCAGCAGCAGCAGCAGCAGCAGCAGCAGTAGTAGTAGTAGTAGTAGTAGTAGTAGCAGTAGCAGTAGCAGTAGCAGTAGTAGCAGTAGCAGTAGCAGTAATAGTAGTAGTAGTAGCAGTAGTAGTAGTGGTAGTAGTAGTAGTAGTAGTAGTAGTAGCAGTAGTAGCAGTAGCAGTAGTAGTAGCAGTAGTAGTAGCAGTAGTAGTAGTAATAGTAGTAGTAATAGTAATAGCAATAGCAGTAGCAGTAGCAGTGATAGTGGTAGTAATAGTAGCAACAGTAATAGTAATGTTTTAGTAGTAGGTAGGTAGAGATGTTTTAGTATAGTAACAATGATAGTAGTAATGATGATGGTGATGGTAGTGGTGGTAGTATTAGAAATAGTAGTAGTAGTAGTAGTGGTAATAACAATAAGAGTAATGGTAATAATCATAATAAAGACAATAAAAATATTAATCATAATCATAATGGTAATAGTAATAATAATGATAGAATAGCAGGATAAGTAATAAAAATAATAATAATAACAATAATAATAGTAGTAGTAGTAATAATAGCAATAATAATATAATATAATGTAATATAATATAATATGAAAATGTTTACAGGGTAGATACAACTTTTTCTTCATCTTGTATGGAGGCTTGTTAATTTTCATCTTAATAAATCGGTTTTTTTCTTAATTCAGTTTGTTTTCTGTATTCATTCCTTATATTTTTATGTCAGTTAGCATTATGTGCAATCATCAAACAAGAAATTGAAACGATGAATCTGTATTCATCACTTTTTCTCGGTAAATGCTCGCACTTTGCATAACAGACATACATCAGTCGTATTATAGTATATTTTCTGAACACAATGTTTTTACACATGACGTTAGGAAACTTATGGTATTTTAATCCGGTCACAATGTGTTTCAAAGAATTTTGTTTTAAAATTTACGTTAAATGGTTTCCAAATCATTCAAACAATTTGATTTTTTAAATAAAAACGATATAGAATGAACTTTTTAATGGTCCTGATTGCAAGCTGTTTTAGTTTTTTTTGGGAGGCATAAACTAATACAGTAAAAGTATTTTTTTTTTAAATAAATTTATGAAGATATACAATAATTTTTTAGTCACATATTGACAATAAACTTATACAATTTATTCAATTAAAATTATTTGAAACACAAATCGTGATCGGTTCTTATACTATTTAAATGTATATAACTCTGTTGTTTGCTAATTGGCATAAATACTCTACATTTTGCGACAATTGTTGAGTGGACAAATTTTTCGGGGTACAAAAACTATAAGAAACATATACGTTACAAATGGAAAAATATGAAAATATTTTGAAACGTATTCTCTGTGTAAAAAGTTTTTATATGAAGAATTAATTGGCGCGTTTGAAATCAATCTATTGCTGTATAATATATGAATTCCACTTTTTAACGAAAATTTTTTCAATCTCATTTGTTATCCAACATATACTTCTTTTGTTTTATTAATTTTTTTCCTTTTTCGAGTAATCGACCACCACTCTTCCGAGTATTTTTTTAAAGATCTCCATAATAATTAGTAAAATTTCACACATTTAAAACATTACTGTTCTTATCATTGTTAATGTTAAACAAATTTAATTTTCAATTTTGTAACGATCATCGTTTTTTTTACAAGCAGCGACTATAAAAGTTATTAATAAGTGATAAGATACAATCGGTTATTTTATCTTATAAACGAAATAATTGTAATTGCTTTCGTAAAAATCAATAATTATTAAATGAGAAAATGCTTCGATGATACGTTGGAAAAAAACATATTACGCTCAAAAGTCAATCTCTTTTAAATTGTTCCTCGTTTTTTAACGAAAAAAAAAGTCTTAAAAGACGACATTTTCTTATAGACGACAATTTCTTGTGCTACGATTTTATCGAAGAAGTGAACTTCTCTTGTACCGAAATATATAAGTTTTGGAGAAAAGGAGTTCTGGTTCTTTGAAGGACTAATGAGCATAATACGTAGTAACGTAAATTCGGAAGAGGGTAAGTGTGAAATTGCCACACGTTTTGTCTACGTTTATAGAGCGTACTGATTTTTGCCGTTCAACAAGATTATCGAAATGCCAGAATTTGTCACGAAGAATCTTGATTAAATCTGACAATGTTTTCTGTTTGAAAAATCATTCTCATACACACACATATGCGCGCGCGCACGCACACACATACACACACAAACACGCATGACACACACACGTACATACATACATACACGACTTCCCTCTCCTCTTTCTCTCTTTTCCCTCCCATATTCTTTTTATAAAGTTATTGAGATATATTGTTACGGCAAAATGTTTCTCGTTAACATAGAAATTTAAGAATAGCTTCATGGTTGTTAGTAATTACAACTTTAGATCGAATTTACACCATTGCGTTTATCATTTTTCATTTATTCCACTTAAAACAAAAATTCGTTTTACCTTTATGTAACATAAGAAATGATCGTCCATTAAGATCGTACATTAGAGTGAAGTAAAAATACTAATATAATTTAGTAATTGTTCATTATTCAGAAATAGAAATCTATGAATTCGAACGAATGTCGCTTCGCGAGTCATTACGTCTACTAGCGAATCTTCACATTGCAAATATTTAAAAAATGCAAAATTCTAAGCATCCTATCTAAACAATTCTCGAAAAGTCAAATATTCTCATTCGTAAGTTCATATAATGAAAAATAAGGCAATTAATATAGGTTCGAAATTTTCCTCGGGAAAAATATCCGTAATGTATAAATTGTAATATTACGAATGAAAAAGATCCAAAATCGGCGTTATCAAAAACAGAATATTAAAAATTTGATTGATCATTAAAACTATATAATCACATGCTTTGAATAAGCCAATAAGAAGCTGACATACTGTATATAATAAAATATTATAAGTATCATTCGAATTTATATTTCGTTTTCATTTCTATAAAATAATACAAAACGGTCAATAAAATATCGTAAAATAATTTTAAAAATCAACCAAGAATTTAATATATATGCCACAACAAAGAATAGAAACATGCAAAGTAGCTCAAGAATTATTTGTTGCAGTATACGCTATTAATAAGTATCGAAAATTTACATTGTTCATCGTGTCTTGTTTTATTATTATCTTATCGTTATTGACACAATTTATTTGTATTTAATATTTCGCATTCTGGCATTGAAATTTACGTTCCAAGTTGTTTTGTACGCTACAACCAAATATCAGAAAGAATTTCAGAAAGAAATTCATTAGAAGAATCATATCGATCGGTGTAATCATTGAAACTCGAAAAAGAAAGTGCAGATGCCAGAAAACGATTATATGAACTTATACGGAAGGTGTATTAATATAATATAAATAATGTTACAATTACCAAAGTGAAACGGCAAAAATCAATTACGACTGCCATTGGAAACATATGTATATGAGTACGCGCGTATCGTTTATTATAAAGTATCTAGGTTTTTGTATGATTATATCATCCTTGATCAATCTTACGTGTATACTGCCTTTTAACTTTCTTATTACTGTCTTCTGTATAAATATGTATTGTTGTTAAATCATGCAAACCTCGTTTGTTTAAAGTCCTTTATCGGCAACAAACTGACGTTTGCAACGTCCTCTTTTTTATTTATCAAAGTAAATAAAAGAGTCGAGTTTACAATGTCAGTGTTCTTTTCTTTCACACTTAAAAGCTAAATCCTAAAGCTGCACTCTTATCATTTATCTATATATATTGTACAAATAACTAGCATTTGACGCAACTGTTTGCTAGCAATTACTTGCTAAACCGTTTACATTCGTGACATTGTGTATAAAACTCTATTGGAGTATATGCTTACACTGGTAATTCTTACTTTTCCTCTTGTTTAATGCAATTTTAATAATAGTAATTATCACTTTTTCGCTCTCTAGGCCACACAGTTTGGGTGCCAAAATTTATTAACGACGTTTGCACGCGACTAAAGCATTTGGAGTGTTTGCAGAATCGGGCAGGACTCGAGAGGCCAGCTGGGTTCATCCTCACTAGACCATGTTTATCTGTCCGTGCTCATAAGCAAAGTATCATAAGCTTCTGTGCCGGACGCGGTATCCGTGCTCAATGTAAGACCAGTCGGCTTCTTAAGATAAACAAATAAAAAACTAAGAAGGAAACGAAAAAAATAATGGAAAAAAGGAAGCTTCCCTCATGTTTTCCTTTGCATTCCTTCATATTTTTACTTTTCAACTGAATTTTTGTCATTCTTGTTCTTGTTCTTCTTTTCTTTAACTTTTTCCCTCTAAAGAAGCCGCTTATATTTTTAAAGCCCCCTTTTCTTACAAATAAAGAAATTCTTGTTAACGTTTCTGTCTTTTATATGTTTCGTTCTTTTTTTTTCCTTTTTTTTTTTAAGCTGTTAGACTGAAGCAATGACATCTTTTTCAATACGTTTACACTGTGTTACATTAACCAATAAAACGACGAAATGCAAAGCAATGCAACGGGGAAGGACTTCAAATTTCCTACTGCCCGTTCTCATTTCCCTCCTTTTCTTTCTTTTCATTCATAAACATTACGATAGGTTTTACGGTATCGTCATAAACTTCGTATATACAGTATATATAATCACCTAATATATATTTTTGACGGTACCGCTATCGCGACGACAGTACGTATAATTGACCTGTCGTCGTAGTTTCTTTTTATTCTTTTTCATTTCAGTGAATAGCAACTGGACTCTGCTGGACGCATACTCCAACCATAGGACTATCTTCCCTTTCTGGGTCTCTTTGTTTGCTGGTTGAGACTGTCGACGGTTGTCTGACTATTCCGTGCGCATCAGTCGTCGAATAACTGTAATTGTAAAAATTCTGCTGCTGAATCATCGGTGAAGTCATCATCGCAGGCAGATGGGGTATACCAGGAAGAATTAGGCTATTATACGATCCAAGAGAGCTTTGTATCAGGGAACTGTCTACAGATTGCATGGACATTGGCCCGGATGCAGACACCCCAGTGGCCGAGGTTGACGGATAGTTTGTTGTTACGACGCGTCGATTCCCCAAATGACGAGGCGATGACTCGCACTCCATTGGCTGATAGCCACCAGGGAGATTTGATATTTGCATCGTATTGCCACTGTTGTTGCTTCCCTGTCCTGACATGGTTACCAGTCCTAAGACATTAAGAAAACAGAACATTAGATCGGCAAACAGTTTAATCGTTTCAACACTAATGCAAAGATCATCCAATGAATTACTACCTCTTACAATAGTACGTCACTATGAGAAAGTTAAAACAAATAAAAAAGATTTCAAAATACTACGGGGATACATTCCAGGCATTGAGTTTAACGTTTCGTTTTTCTTTCATGTAGCTGGCAGTTTCGACTTAAATTCTATTAATATTTAAATATTAAGCAATCGATACTTAAGCAATAACCAATTGTTCATCTTCGTTTTGGGCAATTGATAGAATAAATAACAATTTTAAATATATTTTAGCAAAACTGTGATTTATGAATATAAAATTAAAATTGAATTGAAAAGACGATTTCCAAGAGTTCCATTTTTTATAAAGTTATTTTATTATTTAACTTCTATTTTGAAGCAAAGTGTTCTATACATATATTACTACTCAATCTGTCGTTGACAATATTAGAATAAATTTGGTAGATCAATAGAATGATTTATAAATTAAAATAAAAGAGTAATATTTTTTGTATTTTTAATATATACAATAGTAATTGCATTCAATGCCTAACTCACAAATAATTAATATAAATTTTGAATGAGAGACTAACATACATATTTTAGTTTTAAAACATATAAAAAATAAAAAATTCTTTTATAAATAATATAATTCATTTTATAATTAAAATCTTGAATTGTTTTTAAATTATTTAAATATTTTATGATTAATATCGTATTACTGATGTATTAGTAATAACTGTTCTTTTTATTATGTTTTACTAGTGTTATTATATTTAAAATTGATAAAAACTTGTTAAATCAAGCATTAATATTTTACTTAATATATTCTGATTTACGTTATACAAGTAATTCAATAAGTTAGAATAAATTAAAAATGATTAAATTTTGTATTTATATATTTATTATAAGGTACCTATCAATTTAGAGGAGTATTTTTTACATTACTCTTTAAAATCGTCTTAGTTTGTATTTTATTCCTTATTATTTAAAAACATTTATATTTGGGACACCTTATATATAAGTATAAAATTATAATTAGTTATGCATTAAATCTAATCTGTTTTAATTTAGGTACTCGTTTTACGATAAGAATATGCAAGAAATCATTTTTAAAAACTGGAACGTAAAATGATGAATGTGCAGATTATAAGTTGATGGAATATTTACTGTAAGAACGAAATTTAATGTTTCGTACTTTATATGACATAGATGCACTTCGCATGCTATATGCAAGCGGTCAAAGCATGCATAAAATAAATTATAAGATAATGAAACAGTTGCTCTACAAAGTAAAAACTTGATACAAATATACAAATTTAATTACTATTAATAAGAATATGTTCTCTGAAAATGATTAACAAAAGATATATATGTAATGAAACATACATTACGTATATATCATTGTTATTTGTTACACTTACATTTCCTATAATTGTGTAAACATTGCAAAGAACATATTCTTAGAATGCTATTTGATATCCACTGCTTTTAAACTCTAATATATTTTATATTAACAACGACAATCTTAAATAATTGTAGGATAATGATTATGTAAAAGTTGTAAAAGTACACTGTATCGAAGAACAGAGACACGGGCAATTAACATGAATCCGTATCTCACTCTTGAAAAAATCAGATGTGCAAGTTCTTTATTCAAACAAGCAAGGCGTCGTATGTTACATTTGAGGTCAGGATATGATTATCAGGGACATTGTTAGTCTTTTAGCTTGTAGGATTGTTTGTTAGACAGAACTTACTTATGTTAGTAAGTAAGATTAGGGTTGGGGCCTAGGACAGGTCGTCGCCGCCCCGCGGATACGACAGTCATCGAGCCACGTACTGTCCCCCCATCATATCTACGGGCAACAACAAGTATCGTTTAGTTTGCGCAGAAAATAAAAGATATCAAAAAAACATACATTTTTATATTGATATTCATTGATATTTTATTATGATTTACATCTCTACAGCAATTGATAAAACAGATCTTTCATTAAACAAATTCGTAATAAATTATTATATTCATAAATGCTAATCTTTTATCTATTTTTGTATGTAGTTTTTATTTGTTACTATAAAATAATCATACAAGTAAATGTCTTATTTTCTGCACAAATTAAAGCCTGCCTAAATCTTCAATACAATGCAGCAATTCCTTAAAAAGTTCAACACAAGAGAGTCACTGTATTGCTTTAAATTTATTAACTTTTAGATACAATGTTTCTGAATGATCACAAAAGCTTGAATTTGATTGGATGTTAAATTACAAACAATGAATTAGAAAACATGTATATATTACCTGAATTAGATTCTATATATTTATATAAAAAGATATAGTGAAAAGCAATTAAAAACAATCGGTCAAAGGTCATTTCATTAAAATTTTTAATTATAAAATTATACAATTCTTTTATATTAGTTAAAATAATTAAACAACAAAGTTATAAATTTAATATGTAGCAATGTGAAATTGCTAATTGTAAATTTAATAAAGATGTGTACTTGTTAAGCGATACATATATAGCATAACTTTTACAAATCTATGTTCTTTTGCAATAATATTTGCATAGTCCACGTATTAACGTAAAATGTATTGTACACGTTACATCATAAATAACAAGTGCGTTTTTTAAACAAATGTTATTTTAAAAATAGCAAATATAACACTGTTTAAAATTATTATGAGAAAGAGTTACGAGAAAGATTAAATTATCCATCATTCTAAATTATTTTGCCAAAATTTTAAACCAGTGTAGCATAATTTAACATGTGAAAACATTTAAAAATCTTACTAAAAGTAGAATGTTTATATTATATACAACTATTTAAACTATGAATTAAAATCAATAGTAATAGGTAAAAAAATCCCAAATTTAAAAGAAAACATCTTTACCCTGTCACGCGTGTAAAACGATCCAGTAAGCCAAAAATGATGCTTTATGTATTATAACGTTTTTAATAACTTACCATGATCTTGGCTCATCGATACTACTGCCGGGCTCGTGTTAGCGCTGTTGGCAGCAGCGATATTCGTGTTGGTCCCCTCGTCGGCTGTACGCTTAAAGAAATTGTGCTGAAGTGCATAATACGGTGTCACTCTTGTTTTCGGATCAAAGTCCAGCATCCGTAGGATCAAGTCTTTGAATTTGAGGTAATCGGAAATTGAATGACCAGGTTCACCTATCCTTCTACCACCAGGGCCTCCGCTTTCGACACCTAAGATATCGTGTAAGCGTCTTGTGCCAGGAGGTTTGTACTTTTTACCATCCTTTGACTTTTTCAGCACATACGAGCCATCCGTGGGGACTTTGTCAAAGTATTTTCGCGCTTTGTGCGCTTGGTCCAATATATGTTTCGGTGGCATTCCTAGTACTTCTACAATTTTATTCATTTGATCGACCTATGAAATAGAAAAACAAATAAGTAATATTTATTTTTTTATTAAAAATTACATATATTATAAAGTTCAATGGAGAAGATTATATGATAGTTACAATAAGCAAACAGAAATTAAATATATAAAATAAATTAATGATAAGATTCTTTATAATTAAATTCCTTTACATGTAAGAATCCAAATATAATTTAATATTTATTACCTCATTGGCCCCACTGAACAGAGGTTCTCCCGTATGCATTTCAGCTAAAATACATCCTAGACTCCACATGTCTATCGCAAGGTCATAAGGTATTCCTAATAAGACTTCAGGAGATCGGTAAAACCTGGATTGAATATATTGATATATCTGCAAAGAACATTAATAACAATTAATTTTCGAAAATTATCAAATTATAATATACTTTCAAACTTACACTTACCCTTTGTCCAAGTTGACATGAACTACCAAAATCCACTATTTTTATCGCACTTCGTTTGGAATTGCATAAAAGTATGTTTTCGGGTTTCAGATCACAGTGGATGATGTTCAATTCCGGTGTAGACAGGAACAAAAGGGCAGTACACAGTTGCTGTGCAAACTTCCTTGTTAAGTTCAACGATACTCCTCGAAAATTAGTATTTCTAAGTAGATCATATAGATTATACGATAACAGTTCAAATACCAGACATAAATGATTTCGCCACATAAAATGCCTTTTTAGTTTAACTGTAAGAAATTTTAATTATAAAGTAATTTTAAATAATTTTGTTTAAATAGTAATTATATATTGTAACTAATTAATAAGATACAATAACCAACCTATGTAATATTTGTTGTCGGTATCTGCCCTGTTCATCATTTCCAAAAGTCTCACTTCGATTTGCGCTTGATTTAGAAAAGGTTTTTTGTTCTTGATAATTTTTATTGCCACTTGCGTTTGTTCTTCATGATCAAACGCTTTTACTACTTGGCCAAAACTGCCTTTACCTATATAACATTTTATATCATAAAAATTACATTTAGGATGCAAAAATAGTACATATTAAAAATTACATTAAAGGTTTAATTAATTTAACTAAATATTTAAATGTTTGAAATTTATACTAAATTTTAAAGAAATTTTTCTTAAAAGATGTAGCGCTAGAAATAAATTAAAGAGAAACATGCTTTTAGAATATAATATAAAAAAATATATATTGGATAAAATAAATGTTACTTATTTTCAATAAATGCAATAAAATGCAATAATGTTGCTATAAATATTAAATATAATAAATAAATGAAAACACAATATGTGTAATCATATCAATAGAATTTTTTGCAATATTTATCCATTAGCTTTAAATATTTGACACTATATCTAGAGAATATTTTTTTATTTCCTATTCTCTCTCAAGAGGTTTTCTAGTTTACTTAAAAAAATTACTTTTTCAGAGACACTACTTGTACATCACTACTTTTCATATATCATTTTCTTGCAATTTTTCAAATTTGTTATTACATAATATTAACAACGGATTTCTTTTTATAAACAACTCATATTTAGTAAACAATTAATAAAAATAAACCATAATAAAGTTTTATCATTTTTACCTATTAGCGAATCGATCTCATAACGATCGAGGAACTTTTCCCCATGCTTGATAATATAATCATGATTATCATCATCCCAGCCGTCGTTGTACAATTTTCTTTCTTTTTTATGTGAACTATCTTCCCTTTGCATCTGTTGCGCTCTCCTCTTCTTCTTAGCATAATAAACCTATTAAAAAAAAAAAAAACGAATAAATTAATTAAACCGGAAAATTACATACTGAAATTTATAAAATATTATATTAGACAATTTAAACTATTAAAAAATTTCAAAAATATCTTGCCATAATATTATTAATTAAATGTAATATTACAGTAGATCTTCGTTTATCCGAACATAGGGAGACAGGACCGGTTCGAATGATAGAACTCACTAGCTTTCTCCATATCCTACTTTTATTTGTTTGGATAATAATAGACAGTAGATAAGGATAACAGAAATTAATCAATTATGAGTTCATATATCTGAGATTCAACATTAACTGGCTTGTGTAAACGAAAGTCTCATATAAGTTAGTATTAGTTTTCATATAAGTTCCATATAAATTTTAAATAAATATAAATATTCTAACGTATTTTATGCATAACGTGTTTTTCTTTCATTTTTTAATTTTCTTTGTTAGATTTTTCAAATATACATGTGCTATATTAACATATACATTCCTAATATTTAATTTTTTCTGTAGGTAAAAAATAGATTAAATAAAAGATAAAAAAAATGTAACACAAACAAAATTTAAGTATAAGTAAAAATAAAATAAGAAAAAAATTGAAAAAAAAAGAAAAAAAGAAAAGTGAAAGAAGTTGCAAAGTGAATATTATTCTAAAATGAATTCAAAAATTCGAAGAAGTACAGAACACTGATTCAATTTTTCTGCACTTTTATTCATTAATACATACAACAGATTTCGTTTATCAATATTTTATGTTATAATAGTAATTTTACAAAAAATAAACAAACATAACTAAGCTATACAAGATAAAAGTAAAAAGTTAATAATTATGTAAGATTTGTTACGAAAATAAATATATTTCAGACATCAAAGAAAAATGTAAAAAACTTCAATAATATTGTATTATATACGATATTATTATATTACTATACTATAATATAGTAGTATAATATTATACTATTATACTATCATATTATTGCAAAAAATTAATAGGTTAATTGGTGATATAATTAAAGGTATTGATACTATTGATAGTATAAAAAATTTGAAAGCTGGTTAAAAATGTGAAAAAGAAAAAGGAAGAAGAAAAGAGAGAAAATAATATATTTAAATAATTTAAAGTATCTTTAAACCTTCTTTACAAAACTATAGAAAATAGTTTTGTAAGCACCATGATTTTTGTTACAAAATTTTGTCATAAATCACAAGATTATCTATTGTTATTTAATGTCCATCCAAATTAAATGATTTTTTATATATACATACCATATAAAATATAAATATTAATAACATTATATTTTAGTAATAACATTAAACACAAAATAAGTAAACTAAAATTGTAAACTAGATGTTTATTTAATTATTGAATGAGTTTTTTTGTTTGAGAAAAAGGAAACAAATGAAAAGTGTATAGTATAGGTTATCAACAAAGCCATTAATTATGTTTTCAAGTTTTAACAAAAAAAATGGAGAGTTAGAGAAAAAAAAGTGAATAAATAGGTAAATAGTTGGAGAACTTCTGTGTATAGATGAGTTGCAAAGCAGAAAAAAAGATGGAGAATAAAGTGAAAGATGTTGGAGAAAAATAAGTAGGGAAGGATTGAATATAATACAGACAACCAATTGGTTTGTAAGTACTGTTAATAATTTAGGAACGCATAGATATGTTTATTGTAAACGTTTGTACATAAAATTCACGAAAACACATGTCATGAAAGTCCACAAAAAGATATACATCTCTGGATATTCGCTTTTTTTTTATCACAATGTATAATTATAAAATTATACATTAAAAAAATTTAGGATAATTTTATTTTTTAATAATCATCATACTTACTACATCATAATATCGTAATATCAAGAAACTTATAAATGAAATAAATATTCATAGATAAAAATCCATGAATCGTAAATAACGTTAATAACCATTGTGTAAAGTTTTCTGTTAATATTTATGTTTTCTGTTAATATTTGTGGTGCATTTATGCATGCGTAGGTTTGTGCTAATTCTTTTTACTCGAAAATCCTGTGGATCAAGTTTTAAAGCTTTACCCTATAATTTAATCCTTTATAAATTGCTGGTAAGTATATTTACCACTTGTTGTGTTAGTCTATATTCGTTCTTAATCGATGTTCTACGAGCTTGCATATTCCGCGAGAAATATTACAAGAAAAAATGCAGATATGATTTGTTATTGGCCATACAAACTCATTTTCTTTATCTACTGATTTTTTCGAACCATCGAACTTCAAGATCCTTTAAAAATTAAACAACGAAAGACTTACTAATAGATTAATATATTAAACATTTACTACCATAAAAAATGAGAACATCTATATCACATGTTATATCTAATATTGTTGAAATTTGCAAAAACCGAATTAAGTTTTGATTTGAAGAAGAAGAATTAAGATTTGAAGAAGTTTTATTTTAGAGAGAGTTATTTTTGTTATAGCTTCTACAAATATTTCTTAAATTATCGCTTTCTCTTTTTATTGTTTTTTAATAAACTACATATGCATTCTTATTTTTATTATTAAATTTATGGCCTTAGTAATTGTAGTCGCAAATTTTCTTATAATCAAAAGTGTATCGTGATTTCGAAAAGCTTAAGAATCGCTGGTCTCTATTATGTAATATATTCATTTTTTATTGTAATTGTTTCATAATTTTTATTTATATACAAAATGTGATATGTATTCTTACCAAAGACCATTGTAGGCATTAAAATTGAACAAATAATTTCTGATAAGTAATTTTAAAAAATCATCATGTTAAAATTTAAAGAAAATAGATTTTTCATCTTTTAAAATCCTTTTTCTTTTCCCATTTTTCAAAATTTTTTTTATAAGATGCAACAAAAATTTGTGATGTCAAATATCAATTTTTCTTTCTATAGCTGTAGGGAAATGCTGATAGCTGAATTGCTAAATAATCATAATTATTTTTTCACCTTATAGCTATCTGTATACAGAATTCACTGTTTGTGAATTTATAACTAAAGAAACAACATTTCAGATATAATAAATTTATTATAAAATTTCTCTTCAAATTTCTAGCTTCAGTTATTACATTTGTTTATATCAGTTAATTGCAATAAAAGTTACCAATATCATATATAAATCATAATGGTATATTAATTAGTAATATAGAGAAATTTATGATTAACAAAGATTAAATTAAAGTTCTTATGTACTATCACGCTATTAAATTAATAATATTATTTCAATTTTCACGGAGTGTGCCACGTATGTGACTTTTCTTAAATACTAATATAAATAAAAAATAATATCTATTAAAATAATAAAGGGATATGATTATTATACTATAAGATTTACATAATGATACAACTGTAATAATATTTTAAACGCATAATAAGAAATACGTTTCAAGAATTCTAAAGCTTATGAATAGTGAAATTTTTTCTCATTCCGTTGAGAAAGTGTTAAATAAATTATAAACTTTCAAAATTGTCTTAATTTTTGAGATATTTAGTTTGTTTACTTTCATATTTCATATCATCTTATACATCAAAAATGAAAATTATATATTAATCCATTGTAACAATTCGTATTCATTATTGTACAGATTATTATTGAAAGTAGAGAAATGATAGGAAAAAGGAGAATAGAATACTTTAATTATCTATTGAAATTTTATACTTTTATCTTTTTACCTCTTTATCATTTTAACCACATTAATCTATGGGAATAAATAATGTTTAATTGTTCTTTACCTTATTACATTTAATAAGAAAAGATAGGATAAATAGTAATTTCACATTTTTATTTAAAAAATAAGAATAGATGGACTTGAAGAGAAAACGAATCATAATTAAAGTAAATGTCAAATGGAAAGCATTTTTTACCTCGTTGATGTGCTTGTAAGTTTTGATGAGATCTACACTGAGTTTTCTAAGAGGTGCTGTGGCTGGATCACGAAATCTATGGGGTATTCTGGCTTGCATGGCGTGTATATCCGCGGGGGTTTCTTGCGGAACCCCACCAGTACCGCCACCGGTACCGGCACCCCCACATACTGTAGGAGGTAATGGCTCCTCAGCTACCAGACGACCGTAAAGGGGCGCGCCACCATCTTCACCACCGCCTCCACCCGCACCCGCCCTTCCGCTTACTGAAAATTAAATATCATTAAATTAATACGACTTATTATTATTACTGAATAATTTTGCGAACGATGAATTCTAATTCCCCTGATCATAAATTCTAATTTCTAATTTGTCCAAGTGAAAAAAATACGAATCTGATTGTCGCAATCATAATTTGGAATCAAAATGTAAACAGATCAAGTGTTTTAAAGTAGACTCAACTTCTCATGATTGTATCTTCCTCTCATATTTCTCCTTAAAGTGCGAACTGTCAATTTTTAAATCTTCCCATATTAAAATCATTAAAAGGATTGAACGCTGGAAAACAAAGGTCTGCTAAAAAGTACTTCAGTCACGGTATATATATTCGTATATACACGATGTTACAGTGCATGTGATTGAGAATCCACGCAACGGGGTCACGAAGACTGACATAGGTCGTGCGATAACCAGCACGCATTCCGCTTCATTCATGTTTCTTGATATAGACTGACTTTCACCTATATACAACCATTCTCTAAAACTACCCTCAGAGAGTATTTGTAAATGTACACTACCTAGTCGTTCTCAAGTAGCTATTACCAGTCATAATTTCTGTTGAATAAATGAGATATTCTGAGATTACTTTATGAACAAGTAGTAATATTAGAAATAAGAAAATAAGAAATACTTTATGATTGTTCATGTTGTTACAATTGTTCATGTATCATGACGTTCGTGTTATTACGAATCAGTGTTTCTCGTAAATGACAAGGACGTAAAGAAGATAAAAAGATGAAAAGATTTTATTGTCAGTTTTTTTTTTTTAATCAATAGATAGATTATATCAATTTCCATTTGTAATATTTCTCAATAATTTTAATTCTTTAAATAGAATAATATAATAGTCATACAACGTATGCTGCTATAGTTACATAAGCCATATTTATATAAGTCATGAAATTAAAAATGAAAAAAATAATTTGAACATTTTATAATTTGTCTTACTTATAATTTACTTTATACTTTGTCTTACTGATAATACCACATGTTGCATTGTACAATCTGATAGTTATTATATTGTTACTAATTGAAATAATATTTATTTACATTTTCCACAATGCATATCTTTATTCTGAATGCGCGATTTGCATTTCCAGATAAAATCGTAAAAAGCATTTCTTTTATTACAATTTTGTAAAGTATTCAATTCCTCGAGATTTCTAGAGATGTCACCTATGAATTTTTTTCAAGGAATTATATCGAAAATAATTTAAAATAATAATCAGTATAAGTCATTTTCCATTAAAAATAATTTGTGCCATGCAAACATACTTTCATTGACAAAACTGATAGTCAATAGAATAGTTTAGTTTTAATATTGTAATGATTATATTATAGTAACTAAACTTTTTCACTAACTAAAGATTCTGACAATAAGGAGATACTTGCGAAGCGCTTTAATGACTTACACCGACTGACTTTGCAATTAGTTTTTAGATACTAAATATTATTAAATAATTAAAATATAATTAATAATGTTAAAATATAATTAATGAATAAAATATTATTAAATAATGATTAAAATATAATGATAAGAATATAAATATTTTATAATTATATTATGTTACGTTATTTTTATCATATTGTATTGGGTTAAAGTTGATTCAGTGTTGGCTGAGCAAAAATTAAAAGTGTAATTACAGAATAGAACAGAATATATAAAATATACTAATATATTAATAAATATGTTTTGTAGTGTTATGTTATGTAGGTTTACGTTTAAATGTGAATGGCGGAATATCTCATCAAGAATCAAAACTATCAAATTTATCAGAAAAATATTTTCACAAAAGTTGTTTGGTTTAAAGAAGCCATTATGTAACATAAATATTTTTTTCATTGATGTAATAATTGGGGAAATTTTAAGGTCAAGTTAATTCTTTTTTTTTTTCTTTTTTGGATGAGATCCTGTATTTTTTTATCCATAATATTACAGCGAATGTTTAACAAATGATATAGCCAGTTTTGACCTACAATTCAATGACCTACTATATACCACGTATATTGTTGAATTTATCTCGACGATTGACTTTCATATTATTAATGTAAATATTTTATAATAACACTTTGTGTAGTAATTTAACGAAAGAAAATGTTGGAAGTATGTTATCCAATTTTGCATAGAATTATTTGTCAATCATAAATTAATAAGATATATATTAAAATATATATAATATAAATAAGAAAAGAAATTTCTTTTATTTCAATCATAATTATGTTTATTTATAATTTATTATTTTAATAGTTTCTGTAATAATCCAATTTCTTCTTAAGAAAAGAAATTCCTAATTATATTTTATATTATATTATCTAAAAAATAAAAATTCATATTTCACATATAATTTATTTGAAAAAATAAACTCTAGAATTTGAAGCATGTGTGAGACTTTATAATACTAAATCCAAATGATGTAATCTAAGTAAAGATCTTAATATTAGATTATTGTAGATGAACTGATCAAATTCTTAATATGAATTTCAATTTTCTTGATGAAAATAGTATTAACTAAATTTTGACTCATTATAGTCAATACGTTTTTATCATTGTAGAACAATTTTATAATTATCATAATTAAGATCTTGAATCGATCATTGTTGATGATTTCTGGTTTATTTTTCATGTTTGTATGTTTTAATCTAAATTTTTCACAGTCGCAAATTTAATTTTGAGAAACTCATCGAATTTCAACGTCGAATATATACATATTGGACTAATAAATAAAATTATACTTTTTTCATTATTTTATTATTTTTATCGTCCAAAATATATATTTTCCACATACTTTCTCGAAGTTTTAATAAATCTAATAAATCTAACTCATTGTATTTCATATTTCATCTTTGTTCTTTGACTGGAATACATAATAAAATGCTTCATTGGTACCTACATTTTATCTATTGTTTTATACATATCATGCATCTTATTTTGTTAATATTTTATCAGTATATAATTCAATAATTCAATTTTGAAATATTTACACGATGTCTGTAACTAATCATACTTTATTGATAATGTATTTCATTTCCCTTCTCTCCCTTTTTTAAACTTCATAAGTTTCTAAAAATTTTTATTACTAGTATTCACGTTGCAAAAATAAATACAATAAAATATATATATTATATACAAAACAAAGAATAACTTTAGAAGTACCTTTCATTACATCATCACACTTTTTTTTTATTTTTGTAAATAGTAATATCTCACTATTTTTTTGTTTCATGTATACCGTTTTTGTTTTAATATTCTAAATTATTTTAATGCATTATAATACAACTTTCTTAATAAATATTAATTGAGTTTTCATAATATTCATAATTTTTAGCTAGAGAATGTCAGAATAAACATGAAGACAATAGAATATCGAAAATTATTAACACATTTAAAATAGATATAGATGAGTAATTACAATTTAATCTTTATGCTGTGTTTTTATTATGTACATTAATTTAAAAAAATATATGTATTAATATAAAAACTTAAACATTCATTTATGCTTTCTATATTAGAAAGTTCAAGTTTTCCTTTCATTAAATAACTCCAGCTTTTAAATAATAACATGTGCCGAGAAAAAGTGAAATAAATTAAAAAAAGATTTAAGTGTACAATTTAAAAAATAACAATAAATAGTAAATTCCCAAATGAAACATTTAATAGATTTAATAGATTAAATATAAAACAAATTTGACAAACAATTTGAATAATGTCTTTCTGACCGAATGTTTTATTTTTCCATTTGATTTTACTGAACGGCTCGAACATCTATCACAGTTCCTCATGTTGAGAATCTCTGCATAAGGGCCAAATCGAGCTCTGTTACCGACGACTAACGCTTGTACTTGTTACGAATGTCAAGGGAGCATATGCTACCTTTGACCTAATTTGATCGTAATCTTTTGATAATTCTTCCAAAATATTCAGCGTATTGTCATTGTAGAAGTTTATCACTTTTTTCGAACGTGCACAAATATCAAAAATTATACGTTCGAATTATTATCAAGTCACCTAACATTAATTTATAATAATAAATTTTTATGTATATCGTTCCAAATTTTACGATTGATATTTACCAAAGATAACTCGATAATTTAATCGAAAACTTAAAAAACATAATTCAGAGAAATAACTGCTCTCTATCTTCTTCTTTTCGTTCAGTCCATTCAAATTATCATTTTAATGTTTATATAGATTTATATTAGTTTAATTTATAAATGAACTAATAAATGGGGAAAACTCGAACTTTGAAATTGCTATTTTTTTATACAATTATAGACAAAATCTGTCATATTTAAAATCACTACTTTTTGATGTACGTACAAACTGTTCGGTATTACGTACACACTACTACATATTATTGATACAGTATAAGCAAATATATATGTATGTTCATTAGTCACACACGGTCAACATATTTTTATGAACATAATATATCTTTTTAAGTCCCTGTTTTAGAATAGACAATATGCTTTCACAGATGAAATATAAGCATCAGAAACATCAAAAAAAGTTGAAATAGGATGTACAAATTGTAGAATTTGTATTTTTATATACGTATCATAATTTATATTATATTATTTACGTTATTTATATATTGTTAATGTCTGGCAAGTAATCTTTTTCTTAATTAGATAAAATGTATATAAATTTAAAGAAATTTTTCCATAGTATTGTTAATTTTGTAACATCGTCATTTACTTATAAAAAGTTGAAAGAGTGCACGTAATCAAATTAATAATGGTTTTTATACAAAAGAAGTTTTAATTCAATAATTCTCAATTGATTTATAAATAATTTACAAGAATTCGAGTTATTTTATTTAAGAATACTTTTTATTTTAATATATATGCTATGTTTCACATGAAACTATAAATAACATCTATTAGATAAGATATAAAATGCAAGAAATATCTTAAATTTATCTTAAAATTGGTTTAAATCTAATTGAAACATTTATGATTGCGTGTGTATGACCTAACAATACCAGAT